AATACTGCTAAATGAAGTGTTTCAAAGAGTAAAAATTTTCTCCAGGTGAGGCCAGTCCCCATAGGACAGATGCTATCGGGTGAGCAGACTCATATTCATCAACGCTAAACAAGAGCATACAGCTTTAATAAGGATAGCAATGGCATCCTTTGGTTTGGACAAAATCTCCATTACCAGGGTATCATCCCAATTCAATTCCCTAGAATGATCATCTCCAACTACTGCCTCCTCATCCGATAATGTGTCTGGTTCAAGTGCAAGTTCAAAAACAGATTCTGGAGGGGTAGGAGGTGTGACCCCAGTTATCTACAGCATCAATAAGGCCCAAAATCATACATTGTAGCAGAAAATTCTTCTCTGGATAAGAAAGAGGCAGTTGTTGCAGCAGTTGGGCCAGCAAAATAGCCAAAGAAAAGCAGGGAGTAAGATTGGGAACAATCAGGAGTAGGGTATTAAGGCCCTAACTGTTGGTTCACACTGAACCTGACTTTCGAATTTCAAAGCCGCATGTCCGTGCGATTTCATGCACAGATGTCTATGCAAGTTGCACCTAAAACTGCAAAAAATAAAATAGTGCAGGAACCATTTTTTTTTTTCAAATCAGTGTGGCACCGCAAAGTTAGGTTCCATTTTGGACAAAAGGGTGCGTCCATCATGCAATTTGAACCAGGGCTGAGTGGATAAAACTATTCTCTACAGCTGTAAAAAGATGGCAATGCCGTGGTATCAAACATGAACACAGGCAGTGCAGAGGAAACCTCTACACTGTGCTACAAGGGGAAAACCAGGAGGAGTTGTCGCTGGACCAAAGACACACCAAGAAAGAGGAAGAAGGAACCACAGCTGAAAATGAAGCAGCAAAGGTGCAGTGAACACCAGGACCACAGAGGCACAGTAAATGTTTAGGTACTACATGAGGGAAGATGTCACTGACCATCAACCTTAGATATCACACCACCATTAGTGCTCCACCATTCCCCTTCAGGTCATGCACCTGACCCTCTATACATTGAATATGTGCTTTATCAATTTCCATGCCTCGGTAAAACTCTCCAATCGGACTTCTTGTAACTTTTGTGCGCCCAGCATATGCATTAAAAGAAATATCCATAGTGCAGCAGTATAATAAAATGCTCCTTTATTAAAGAGTATATGCTTACATGAATTCCGATAACTAAATGCCTTATCTACAATGGTCACCGCGATACTTCCGGTTTGCGTCTGACATCACTTCCGCGTGATGTGTTTTTTCGTCACATTGACTTCCTCACGCCTGATGAGGAAGTCAATGGGACAAAATATGGATTTTGAGGATTAACATTGCACTGATTTGATAGTGACTATATCCTCAATAATGTATTAAAAGTGTCCCTCTAGGACATACAAACTTACTCATCTCTCTATTAGACCTATCGCACTCCTCAAACATTTTAGTAGGTACAGAAGGGATTCTCCCTTATGTCTGTGTTGTGAAACTGAAACAAGCACCCTGTTACATATGTTGTGGAAATGCCTAAATGCTTCTTAGTTGCAAGTCTATTTCTAGGAGGTACATGTAGGTCTGGATCCCACCCTGCATAAATGTATACTTATTTTTGTGTGGAAAAGTATATTACTTACTACTTCTTTGTTGTACTTGTAATATTGTCCAGCACTGTAACATGGTTCTTGTTCTCCAGTTCAGAAATTTTGTATTCCCCTCCCCCCCTTTTTTTATGTGTTTTTCTCCTCTCTTGGGCCGGTTTGTACTGCTTTAATAAAACAGTTTGAGAGAACAAAAAAAAAAAAAAAAAAAAAAAAAAAAAAAAAGGGTGTAAAATATCACCAAGGTGAAAGGTGGTCATCGGCTCCCACACACTGGAAAGAGGAATGGGAGAGGAAAATCACCGTGAATATGAACGTTTAAAAGGTCTTCTGCCCCACACTCACCGCTTAAGCCTCTGCTGGTAGGGTTAACGGGGGGGGGGGGGGGGGGGGGGGGAGGGAGTACCTCATCCTGACTTCACTCTTCACAATGGGCATACCAGCACAGGGGTATTCAGGGACAGGGCTCTGCTGCTGGCAGACCACAAACTGTACAGCATCCTACAGGTATCTCCACACGTTGCACTGTGTACAAGGGGAATGCCTACAGCAAGACCCAGTGAATGGCAACATCACAGGTTGCCCCCGCTTTTTCCATCTAATAGGTCTGTGAACAGTCCCATCAAGCCACTGCCAAGGAATCATTAGGAGACGCAATGGCTACGGTGCGACAGAAATTGAGAAGAGACTATTCCCAGTAGAAGAATCACCATCAGAGAGAGAAACCTCCATTGGCAGAAGGTAAGCTTTTCTCAGGAGAGACAAGTAATCCACCACCTACACACCCAAGCAAAAAAACTGAGGCTAGCTGGGAGTGGTAGGGGTTACAGTGGATATAAAAATTCTACACACCCCTGGTAAAAGGTCAGGTTTCTGTGATTTAAAAAAATTAGACAAAGATAAATAATTTCAGAACTTTTTCCACCTTTAGGCTCCATGCACACTGGGAGTTTTAATAACGCTAGTAACATTATCTGTGTTAAGTCACAGTAAAAAAAAAAAAAAAAAGCAAACACACCATCCCGCGATTTACTGCGTTAGAGCGTTTTTACAGCTAAAAAACCCCTCTAGAAACCCACTAGTTCCGGGGGTTTTTTCAAGCCAAAAAACGCTGGGATTACAGTCTGTGTGGATGGCTACATAGGATAACATGCTGGGGGGGGTTTACTGGCTGTAGGGGAAAAAAAAAAAAAAAAAAAAAAGTTAAAAGCCAAAAGCAGCAGCTGTAAAAACATTTAGTGTGCATGAGAACTAAATATAACCCATAAACTGTACAACTCAATTAAAAAACAAACAATTTTTTTTTAGGGGGGGTGGGGTAAACAAACTAAAGTAATGTGAAGACCGTCATCAAGTGGAGAAAATATGGCGCAACAGTGACATTACCAAGAACTGGATGTCCCTCCAAAAAAATTGATGAAAAAAAAAAAAAAAAAAAAAAAAAAAAAAAAAAAACTGGTCTGGGAGGCTGCCAAGAGGCCTACAGCAACATTAAAGGAGCTGCAAGAATATCTGGCAAGTGCTGGCTGTGTGGCACATGTGACAACAATCTCCCGTATTCCTCATATGTCTGGGCTATGGGGTAGAGTGGCAAGCCGGAAGCCTTTTCTTACGACGAAAAACATCCAAGTCTGGCTAAATTTTGCAAAAACACATCTGAAAGTCTCCCAAAACCATGAGGGAAAATGTGTTCTGGTCTGATGAAACTAAGGTTGAACTTTTTGGCCATTATTCCAAAAGATATGTTTGGTGCAAAAACAACACTGCACATCACCAAAATAACACCATGCCCACAGTGAAGAATGATGGTGGCAGCTTCATGCTTTTCATCTGTTTTTCTTCAGTAGGAACTGGGACCTTAGTCAAGTTGGAGGAAATTATGAACAGTTCTAATTTCCAGTCAATATTGGCACAAAAAACCTTCAGGCTTCTGCTAGAAAGCTGAACATGAAGAGGAACTTCTTTTTGAATGGCCCAGCCAGAGCCCAGACCTGAATCCGATGGAAAATCTGTGGGGTGATCTGAAGAGGGATGTGCACAGGAGATTTCCTCGCAATCTGACAGATTTGGAGTGTTTTTGCAAGGAAGAGTGGGCAAATATTGCCAAAGTCAAGATGTGCCATACTCATACCCAAAAACACTGAGTGCTGTAATGAAATCAAAAAAGGTGCTTCAACTAAGTATTAGTTTAAGGCTGTGAACACTTCTGCAACCATGTTATTTTAGTTTTATTTATTTTTACTTCCCTCCACCTATATATTTCAATTTGTTATTCAACTGAGTTGTACAATTTATAGGTTACATTAAAAGAGGGAAAAATTCTGAAATTATTTATCTGTCTCATTTTTTTACATCACAGAAACCTGACATTTTAACAGGGGTGTGTAGACTTTGTATATCCACTGTATATAGGGAGATGGGAGATGCCCCTGCAGCCGTGTCCATTGAACTGAAGGTAGCTGCATTTAACCAGTCATAGTTATTAAGGGCTTGTACACACTTGCAGAGATTGTTGTTTTAAGGGCACAAAGAAAACAACGACTGTTTTCTATATGCACTGTTCACATACAGCCTTCAAGTGAGCTGCAGTGTGGTGAGGGAATCTGCTGTGGTGCATAGAAATGAATGAAACATTGCACAGTAACATTCCAGCAAAGTTCAAGAAAAAAAAAGAAAAGGCGCACTGCACTTTAAAAAGAGCAAGGCTCCGTTGGCCAGAACCAAGACTACATGCACAGAAAAATTTGCCAATTTACCTTGCAGGAAGTGTGAACTAGCCATGAAGAGTCTGTGTAAGGAACAAACTAAAACTGTTCAGTCCTTCATGCACATAAGACATTAAAAAAGCTCTCCTAGAAGCATTCCTCCTGACAGCAGCAGGATTTACAGAAAAAAAAAAAACACCTGACGGCTATAAAAGTATATAATGCTTTTACAAGCGTTGACGCTTTTTTTCAACAGGCGCTTGGGCATTAATTTATTTAATTGGCCGGAGTAATAATTTATTCTCGTCACTGAAATTAGTGCTCAAATGCTAAACACGCCTAGCATTAACATGTGTTTAGCTGCATCAAGCGTTTTTCTGCCAAAAACGCTGCTGCTCCACTGGCCCTAGGTTTTTTTCCTGCGGGTAAACACTATTGCTAGTACAAGCTTCTAAAAGTCTATGTATGCATGGATACAGGATAACATGGAGGGCTGTTTAGAAGCAGAAAAAAAAAACAAAAAACCCTGATGTCCCAAAAAAAAAAAAAAAAAAAAAAAAAAAAAAAAAAAAAAGGTGGCTGCATAAACTCCATGTGCATGAGGCCTAAGTGTTAGAATCTGTTCCTAAAAAGGATAAACACCATTTTAAGCAGTTTGTGTGTTATTAACAAAAATGGAAAAGTATAGCTTAAAAAAAAAATACTAAATTATTAAAGTTGACTGTACATACCTTTATCATTGCTGTGATCCACATGGGCCCCATTTTGAGACACAGATATGTTCTGGTGTTGTGGCTGATTCACTGAATCCAGAAAGGAGACCAGGTTTTCATGATGAGAAAGTTCTTCTATCGCAGGAAAAGAAACAATGTTCCAGTTAAGTTGCTTTATGCCATCCACCTCTGTTAGTGCCCGGAAAAGAGATGGGATGGGATCATGAAGTTCCTCAACTGTACTCTTGGAGGTTGGGGGAGTGTCACTGTAATTTCTGGGATTGCACATTCCTAGGAAAAAATGCAAACAACTTATTTCATGCACAGTTTATGCCACACTGATAGAATATAATGTCACCTCTTGAACATATATAATGTATTTCAATATTTTCAAGCATAAATAAAGTATACTAACTTTCCGGTTGACGCCATGCAGCTGTTCAAAGGATTACAAAAGAAAGTAGCAAAGCAACATTCCAAACATTTGTCAACCTGCACATACAAAGAAACAACAACTAGTCACTCCTTTCAGGATGCGCATAAAATATCACAGTCTTGTTAGATTCAACAGGCCAAAGTAGTAAAGTGACCCTATGAATTCCGGAACGAAAAATAAAGACATACTGTAAAAGAAGATGCTATACAGTACTTAATCTTTCCAGAAGTCCATGTTTATACCCTGACATGCTAATCTCCAGCTGCTGCAGGTATTCGTGGTTCTACCTGCCAGCATATACAACAATAAAGGACAGTCAAGCCAGTGGGAGGAGCTACAGCAAGCAGTGCTTACTTTTCCAGCAGCTTGTGTGTTAATACGTCACTGCACTGGTGTCAAATACCTATCTCCCTGATATATTTTATAATCCCCCCCAATTAGTTCATACATTTACAGTGGCCTGGGGATAAGAAAAGTGGCAAAGTTTTAACATAAAAGCAGCCAGAATGGTAAGAACACATAGCATCTTCTACAGGCTGCCTTCATCTTAAAAGGAGTACTGCTTGGACCTTAAAAAAGGGGACATACCCTGAAAGCTTGTCCTGAAAAATTGTATGTTGTTAGTGCAAATAAAAAAAAAAGTATCACAGACAGCACTCAGTGTTGCCATGCAAAACTACATTTTATCAGCAGGTGGCACCGCAAGTAAACAAAGCAATTGTAGATTTCTATAACCAGGAAAGCTTGGTACTTGTGGAAGAGTGGAACCCCAAGTATTGCAACATGGGTAGTTCAATTTTCTAAAAAAAAATCCCCAAATAAAGCCAACACAGAATATTATTAGTAAAAGTAGTATCTGGTGTTGGGCATTTATAAGGTGCTTTACTTGGCTTCAGCAACTCGCTCCTTTGCGTTATATTGCACATCAAACCCCTTCTTCTGAACGATGAGCGCTCAAATGTATTTGATGTATGGACATGTTGCGGGGCCAATGTAAATCAACATATGTATTAAAATGCACGTAAAATACATGTCAATGTGCATTAAAGGATCTGTTCACATATATCAGAGTTTGCTTTTATATGTTTTCATAGCTTTTTGCTGCAATTTATAGAGCATTTTACATGTTCTCTTTCTTGCATTGTGAAATTTGTGCGTTTACATAATTGTGTAAGGGGGAAGGTGAGGAGGCAAGACAGAAGGCGTCATTTAAAATCGGTGAGCGAAACTGTAACCTGCAGTAAAAAGGTGATTTTTTTGATGAAAGTGGTTTTACCATAGTGGCTGCTGTGCACTAGCTGGCCTGAAGGTTCCCTGTGCAGTCCATTCGCACAAAAATGTAGTAGTGTTTGTACTGCAGCCTAATTGCAGATGTTGGCACAATATTGTTTATTGCCATTCAATTTACTACCTGGTTGCATAGCCCGGCTCACTTGCGGCATCCTGTGATCTTAAATGTTGAGAATCTGCTTCTCAAGATACCATGTGCCGATAACCTGCAGTGCTAGGGTGGTGAAAAATGTGACAGCTACAAAAAGAAATCCAGTGGCATTCAAAAGGGAGTGCAGGGGGACAGGGCAGCAAAGTGGGGACCAGAGGGAGAAGAGGAAGGGCACAGGGTATGGTTGTAGCTAGGTGTGTACAGGGGTCAGCAGTACATAACAAAGTGCAGGGGGTTAAGCAGTACATAAGGTACAAAGTGGAGGGATCAAGGGGGGTTGGGTCAAAGGTGTCCCACAGACAGAATGAAGGGATCAAAAGGGCCCAAAAGACATGCTGGTAAGTTAATTGGCTTCTGTCTAAAATTGGCCCTAGTGTGTGTATGTATGAATGGGAGTTAGGGACCTTACATTGTACGCCCCTTGAGGGTTAGGGACTGACGTGAATGTACAACATATACATGTAAAGTGCTGCATAAATTGACGGCGCTATACAAGTACCTGAAATAATAAAGAGAGAGTGCAAGTGTACCATGCTGGGTGAGGGGTGGGCCACAGAGTGCGGGGGGTTGGGGTTCTGCCATAAAGAGTGCAAAGGTTAGTAGTACCTAATATGCACAAATGGAGGGATGAGGGGTGTATAAAAAAGTGCAGATTGCAGGGGACCAGTAAGGAGTCCTGAACGCAGAGAGTGCTGGGGTAACATACCATTCTGCAGCTCAGTTGTAGGGACACAGAAAGGTCCACGATTTCCAACCAGTACAACACACACACAGCACCCCAAATTTACTTTCACCACACAGTGTCCCAAACAGCCCTCATGTATACTCCCCCCACATAGTGCCCTATACCCCCTCCCTCCTTCCCCTGCATTATCACTTCTCATAGGACCAAGATACACAGTAAAAAGGAATGAAACAGTTAAACACTTTTCTGCAAGTGGTTCTGTACTGCCTGCAAGTGATTGAAGAAAAGGGTTCTCACCTACTCACCATCCCAAAAAAATCCATTCCACCACAACCCGTTCTCCGCCTCTGTTACAAAGTGCCTTAAACCTTTTGGAGCTGCTGCTGGTTTGCAAGATTGGGAAGCAAGCTCCTCCTCTCTCCTAGTAATGAATCATGGTCACTAGTGGGTGGCGTTTGAGAAGTGCAATGGTGTGCCTGGTCACTGTAACAAGACAGCAGGATGGTGCAATTCTGTTTAAACTCCATCCACCAACCGGCCATTGTTTATTCAACACTAGAAGAGAAGTGTAGCTCACTTCCCATGACAAAAGCACAAGACATAGATGCTGTGGAAAAACAAACCTAAAAGTAGGACTGTCCCAGCATATCCAGCACAGCTGTAAGTAGGTGTCTCTATAAGCATGTCTGTGTGGAGACAGCCATTTTGGTAGAGGCAGGGCTTTGCTTCCTCATGTCAGAGAAAAAAAAAGCAGTGGAAAAGTTGCAGAAAGCACAGATACACCAAACAGATGAAGCAAAAAGATCCTTACAGAGCAGTCTCTCGCTTTAGCAAGGAGAATAGTGAGCAGCACAGCAGTAACCTAACTAATCTTAGAAAAATAAGTACCTACAAATCTTAGGAGGCTAGCATCAGAGGTACAGTGCCTTACATGATCTCACACTGCAGATTTACAGCTCTGAGGTTTAAGGCACATGAAGTGCAGTGCTGTTATTCAGAAGAAATTTAGGACAAATGTAAATCTTTCAAGGCACTGCTTAGACACATTTATCAATTTAAATGTTCCTTATGTTAGGGCAGCACATTTTCACTGGTTGAATTTAGACTCTCTTTAATGAATGTTACACTGCCTTCTTTACTATGGTTAAAAAAGGCTTTATAAAAACTTTGTTGGAAATAATTAGGAAAGAAAAAGTGGAGGTCTATTTAAATAGAAAACAAATCCAGCGAAAAGAACATTGGAAACAGGAAGTGTTTATGACTGGAGGTGTAATGAAAGTGCAGCTAGAGCCTGTGTTTTTGTAAGCAGTGATGTCAGCTCATAACTCTGCACATCTGGCGAAAAGTGCACAGCCTGTAACAGGCCCTGAGGGCGGATGCTAGTCTGGCACTTGGCTGAGTCACCTGCATTCAATCATGCCAAGATTCCTGGTTGACTTAAGAAAATGTGATCTGTCATATCAAATCCTGCACACCTCAGGTAATGCTGCAGAATCTGTTACATGGGTTTATTCTCATAGTGACAAACTTCACTGATGAAAAAAAAACGCTATTCAACAAAAACACAAATAATTAGATTCATTTGTTTATGGAAAGGAACTGCAATATTGTGGAGTTGAACTTACTTTCCACAACACAGATTCAAGACCTAAATGTAGAAAGCCCAGTTGTACTGTGGAATTGTTAAATCCTCAATCAGGTTTTGATTTTGCTCACTTGTTTTGTCATCTCTATCCACTTGGGTTCACAAGACAGAAAGTGATGGGAAATCTCCCCAACAGGAAGGAAAACTCTCTCCAAAATGAAAGAAATCCTTCTCAGGCTGCTTTCACACTGAACCGTTTTTTCTCTGTTTTTGCCTCACCAAAAGGGGAACAAAAATGCATGACCATTAAATCCTATGGAACGCTCACACACGCACGCATTACACAGTTGTCACTCAAGCATCCTCATTGCATGATTTTCCTGTTCTGGGGACACTTTCTGTGCTGGTAATGGTTAGCAGGACAAAATCTCCCCGGTGGATGGAAAAACACAAAAAAAAACTGGAATGGACACTATAACTGTTCCTTACACAAAAAATATATATATATATATATATATTTTTTTTTTTTTTTTTCCATTAAATACACTTTAAAAAAAAAAGGTATGATTGTTGGCTTGATTAAACACAAGTATTATTGGTACTGATGTTAATATAGTGTTTCATAGTAGTTACTAGTTCATCACTCAAAGAAAGATATTACACATACATCCTTCTGTAAAAGGGTTCATATATTTCTTTATGACACTGAACCTCTTATATTATCCATTCCCCAGTGAAGCTGTTAACAAAAATGCCAACTATAGGAGGGACAAAGTACAGTATTCATAAATATGGTCAGAAAGCACCTTGTAACATGGGACAAAGTGCTACATATACTTAGTTCTCTCTCCTATGGGACAAACTAAAAAAAAAAAAAAAAAATTATATAAAAAAAATATAAAAAAAATTTCACACTGGATGCAAATTGGCATGCGATTTGCATGCCACGCAACTTGCAAATCACATGTCAAGTCACACTCTATTGTCCGCAATTATAGCGGTCATATCGGTGCAGTTCTGACCCGCACAGATTTCTAAAGTAGTACATACACTACTTTTGGTTCGATTTGCATAGACACCTGTGTCAGATGTCTTGCAAATCACACCTGAAAAATCGACATGTCATCCAACTTTGAAATCGTGA